AAAAGCGCGTCTTAGCCATTAAAGCAGCCTTGAAAAATACTACTTGCTCTCTGATCCAAGCAGTCGTACAATGACAGGTATGTCCCCAGTCCCCAAGCGCTCATCCCCAGCCTTTCACTGGGGATGGGCAAGTCTGTCTGTCTGCATGGACCGATACAGATCTCTGGTGACTTCTGGCACCACTGAGGAGGGAGGGAGGAGGCAGGCAAACATTCAGGATCCTGCTGCGGGATGTCTTGTTCAGACTCTGGGGGTCCCTTTTGCTCAGCACTGGGGCAGGGAGGGGGGGAACAACGCTGTTCTGCAGCATCTGTGTAGCTATTGGCCCAGTCATGGTTTTTGCAGCTACTAAACATGAGGCTGCTGCAACCTACACAGCACAGAGACCTCAAGGACAGGGTGGGGAGATGCTAGCTGAGGGCAGGATGTAGTCCAGCTAAGAATTAATGCATTTCTGAGTTCATGCTGGTAAATTTTGACACGTAGGGCTAATGGCTTGTGCACTGCATCAGCAAATGCAACTATACTGTATTGAGACCTGCCACCTCCAGGAACCTGGGCTTTCCCCTGGTGACAAGCTCTTCCCTGCTCTTTTCCTAGCCCAGTCTGGGAACACACACTACAGGATAATGTCCTGGACTCCAATAGGCATTTGACCCCCACATCCTCTCAGAGAGGGCTTGTCTGCCTACACCTGGGCTCCAGAAGGACTAGCTGTATGAATTAATTCTGATAATAGTTATTTCAGTGCCAGTTTGTAAGTATACCAGCCTAGCAAAAGGTTCCTTGTGTCTGAAGTTTGTCCCTTTTTTTAAAAAAAAAAAATAATTTTTCTTTCTAACATCATGCCTGTGCTGTGCATCACTTGTTCTGTATATTCTTTTATCATTATTATTACTATTCTCCTCCTTTTCTGTCATATTAAACTGTCTTTATCTCAACCTGAGAGTTTTGCTTTTTTTTTTTTTTTTTTAATTATTTCCCTAAGGAACTGGTGCAGATCAGGTCTGATTTATAAACAAGCAGCTCAGCTGTATAAATGTGGGGACAGAATGTTCAGATAATGTTTCAAAGGGAAAGGCAAAAAAAAAAAAAAAAGTTGTACAGTATTTTTCCTGTAAAGGTTATTACTATATATAGAACAAAAGAGAAACCACCAATGCTGGGGGGATGAGGGGGGGGGGTCATCTGCCTTCTGGGTAGCCCTTAGATATGGTTAATTGTGTGCAATTTTTTTTCTCTTTTTTTTTTTTTCCTTCAATGTAGTGGTTGTTTGTAGGGGGTGGCAGGGGAGGGGGGGCCTTAATGCTACGGTTTGAGGCTGACTTCACACTCCTAGCACTGACTGGAGCTGCACGATTCCGAATTCTAACTTGAATTTTGTAGAGATGAAACAAATGAAAACAAAACAAATGAAATATTGTTATTACTAGTTTGTAGTTTATTTAATTCTTTGGAGTTCTTTTCCTCTATCAGCTATTTGTGTGGCTTTTATTTTTATAGGGTTTTTTTTTTTGTTTGTTTGTTTGTTTTTGTTTTGTTTGATATATCCCCTGCCCTCAACTGTGTGTTTTCTAGCACAACCCAATTCTTGAATATAATGAAGCTCATGTTCCTGGGGCAGAGTGAGGGAAATGAGGCCCTGGAATTTCTAGAAATGGGATGGGGCAAAAAGATTTTTACTTTAACGGCATTTGCTGCAGGTTCTACACTTGTACATTTTTTTTTTTTTCTCCCATATTCAACTACTTAGATAGTATGGTGATGGGCTCCAAAAGGAATCCTTGGATGTAACACAAGCCACATCTTGCAAAACAGATGTGTTTATTTTGTACCACTAAAATCAACAGGTTGTCTATCGGTGACTTTTGCGGGAGCAGGATCGCACCTACTGCCTTCAATACAACATCCTGCAGGGTTTCACGAAACCTGCCTGTGAGTGTTGCTAATGCTGAAGGTGAGGGGGGAGCCTGGGTTCAGGGGCAAGGCACGGGGCTCACGTGGGCCACTTGTTTCCGTTCAGGGTAGGCAGGCTTTTTCCCTGCTGTTAAGAGCTGGGAACCTGCACTGGCATGTAGTGTTTTACCTCTCCCCTTTCACAGCTCACCAGACTCCACTGACGGAGTCACTGCACAACAGCAGGAGAAAGCATAAGCGTGTGGAGAAAAGGGATAAAAGATCTACCAGTAGCTCTGCTAATGCCAGACCGCTTTGGCTGGTGCTGGACATAATACATCATCCCAGGAGGCAGCTTCAGGCAGGTGCAGCCCATGCAACTGCACCAGGATCTGCGCTGGAATGGGGTCCTGTTTCACATGTCCTTCTGCGTGGCTAAGCGTGCCAGAAGGGCCTGTGTTTATCTATGCACACCATTTTCTCCCCCAAGGCATGCTACTTCTCCCTAACATCTCAGCCTTTCTCCCAAACGTCTATCACCTCTTCTCCGGGAGCTGGCACAGGGAATGAGATTTCTTTCCCAACAGGCTGCCGCTAAATGTGACCCCTGAGCAGGGCCTGGCCCCCCCCCAGAAGGTCAAACACCTGAACAGGACAGTGGCCACTCTGCCCTTCAGACAGGGCCACCCAGGAGGCTGGCCCTAACCCCCGAGCACGTCTCAACCTTCTCCAAGTCTTGTTTCTGCAAATCTCTTACTATGTCTCTACTTGCAACAACAACAACAAGTCAAGAAAGTTAAACCCATCTTTTTATTCTGCCATGTTAAGGCTTTGATTCAGCAAAACTCTTAAGCAGATGCTTTCAAACGGGCACAGGTTTAAGCCCAGGCTTAAGAGCATTTCTGAACAAAGACCTCAACAGCACAAAGATCCCTATTACAGCGAGGTGTTTTTTCACTTCAAGCTATCATATCAATAGGACTGTTAATACAATACTGTTGAAATATGTGCTTAAAAGAATGACCAGAGAAAGAGAGGAAGATTCAACTAACTGTATGAGGAGGGGGAAAGAGGAGAGAGGAAATGGAACTATTCTGTCCAAAACAAGATAAAAACCAAACAAAATAAATCTTGAGATGGACCCTCCTGATTCTGCTACCATTCACTGCTGAAGAGAAAAAAAAAAAACCTGAAAAAACAAAAATGTGTTGTTAGGAGGAAAAAAAAAAAAAAAAAAAAAAAAAAAACCTTATTCACTAGATTGTTCTTTTTAGCCACAAACTCAACTGGATTAAAGTCTGTGTGGAAGGAATTTTGTAAAGAAAAAAAAAAAAATTAAAAAAAAATTTTCCAATGTAGCAAAAAAAAAACCTTTAAAAAACAAAAATGAAAAAAA